AATTTTTACACCTTCTGAAGATCGGTCTCATAACCTCGGAAGGTAAACAGTGCATCAAGCTCGTGGGCTTGAGACTTCTGAGCCCGGATTCAGGATCTTTAAGTCCGTATGCACAGAAATGGAAATCTCCCCGATGGATCTGAAAACAATTGTTGCATGCATTTCAAATACCATATCCTGGATGTCTGAGGATTTTCGATGATGAAGTATCTTCTGTGCTTCAACTGATACCGCGCAAAGGATGCCACAAATTCAACCATGGGAAGGTAGCGTCTCCGCTTTTCCCCAACCTTTTGTTGGTCTTGTTGGATGTTCTGCATATTTGACCATGGTCCACAGACCGGTGCCATAAGGATAACATCAGGTGCTTGTTCCCTGATGATCTCCAGGACCATGTGTCGTCCCTTGGATGTCATTACATCGAAGCCTGTGCGGATGTCCACGGGAGTCCCAACCTTAAGACCTGATAGTGCACAGCATTGACTGAATCTGGCACTTCCTGCAAAGATCTCGAGAACGTGGATCTTTCCCTTACGTACACAATTCCAATGTGCTTGTTCAGGAATGGATGTGAGGTCCTCGACAAACATGTTCTCTGCTGGATGAGGTACTGCAGGTTTTGGAGTTGTTTTTCCCGCGATACGTAATGGCACTGAGGATCTTCGCTTAGGAGCTGGTGCGGATGATTCCTTTTTCTTGGTATCTGCAGAGGAGCCTGGTTGCTCCTTCTGCAAGGATTCTCGCTCTTCGGGTAACAGAAGGTCAATTCCGGGTTTCCCCGGAGGGATGGTCTCATCCTTCCTGAGCTTCGTCATGTTAACCTTGATGAGTCGAGTCCCAAGATCAAGTCCTACCATCGCTCCTTCAATGGAAATGACCTTTCCTTTTAGCATATTCCTCCCTTGCTTCCATCGGAACGAATCTTGGATTTGTCTTCCTGCCAGTAGAATACCTTGTCCTTCACCTGAAGAGGCTTTGAACTCATTCGGAGATTTTGAGCAAGGTCTCGTCGGATGTCCTCGGATTGACGTGCTTCTTGGAAAGCTTGCTTTGACAGCTGCTTGATCTGGATGGCTGTCATCTCTTCTTCATTCCTGTCAATCGTCAACTGAGTTGGTGTTGCGACATCGAGTTGGATGAGATCTGCTGGTCGTCTTCCGAATGCGAGCTCCAATGGTGTTACACCCCCGTAGGTGACGTTCTGATTCCTGACAGTTGCAGCGGCCTTCACTAGCTGCCTGTATGTCACTTTCTTCAGGGTTGCAGGTGCTGTACCTGCTTTGATGGAACTTAGCATGATCTTGAGTTGTGCCTTCAGGAGTCGAACTGCTGCTTCAGCTCGATTTGGCCATGGTGTATTCGGTCCCAAGGATATCGGTGTGATGTCAAGGGACTGATAGAAATGTTCCCATGTATCTGTCATGAAGGCTTGATCTGCGACAACTGATTTGGGCTGCAAGTGGTACTGGTCAAAATAGTTCCTGAGGACAGTGATGTTCTCGACTTCTTGCGTAGTTGTCACTGCCTCTGCAGTGAGCAATGTTGTTGTTCCATCCAGGATGACAAAAACAATGATGTGTTCTCCTGTTCCAAGAGGAACTTGACAGTGATCAATGAATGTCATGTCACCAAAGGTGTCCGCGCGAAGTCCGCTTGTCTTGCTTCGTGATGGTGCATGTTTTGCCGCTTGGCAAACTTCACACTCACTTCGGATCTTGTTAAATAGATCGAATGTTGATTTCGGCAAATGAAGTGCTCGGGTTCTAAATCGAAATTGATCTGTTGTCATGTGATGATGCTGCAGGTGGAGTTTCTTCAACTCGACAATCGCTTGTGGATTCTGCCTAGGGCAAGCGGAAGCGATGTTGGTTCTTCTGAGGATGGTGCGAAAGGATCTGGCTCAATAGTCGACCGGCCCCTCTTGTCGATGATCCTGTCTGCTGCCGATCCTGAACCTGCTTCTTCGTCCTTAAGCGAATTGTCCGCGAAGGTGAAAATGGTCTTACCTGTCCACAGGTTAATCATCGGTTTATTTGCCTGGATTGTAAGTCTCCAATTGTCTTCTAGAATGTCTGGATCTCCACCTGCGGATGCATCAATGATTTCCGTAGTACGTTCTCGGCTAATGTGATCAGGATTGATTGGACATTCCTTGGCTCCATTTGGTGTGAACAGCGCCTTTCGGGGCGTGATGTGCACACGGATGAGCTGCTTGTCAAGGATCCAATGGTCCTGCTTTTGAGACCCAATGATCTTAGGAGTTGCTAGGTCCTCCTTTGTCTCGGATGATTTTGCTGCACAAACAGTTTCGCTCTTGGTGAGATCCCCGGAGGGAAACTTGATGCTGTTATCATCGTCATAGACATAGTTGATGAGGCCCTTGTGAGCAATTTCTCCATGCGCCTTCACTCTTGCAACTCCAGCAAGATCGACGAGTGCATGTCCTGTACCGGATACTGGAACTGCTTGACGGTTCATGCCAAAGGCCTTGCATGTGATCTTGTTACATTGAGGTGTGTGCTCGATGGTCATGTAGAGGTTCCGCATCTGGCGGATGCTGAGAAGGATCGGTACAGTTCCTTGTTCAAGGACGTCGATGTTGGTACTGCACGGAGGAGTTGTGTGATATCGAAGATGCAGGGTCCAATTTACCCTGGCGGTTTCTCCGTTTGCAAAAGTGAACTTGGTCTCAGCCGGGATGTACTCATAGGAGATGATGTCCTTCATTGGTTCGATGGCCTGAGTAAAACGCTGGATTGCATGCCAGCTACCCATAGATCTGGTACATCCATTGTCCAGAATCGCATAGGTCGGGTTGTGCTGAGGGTTGATGACAGGCGCCATCAGCTTTGTTGCCAGAAGGCTGTGATTTGTTGTGACGGACAGATTGTGTTCTGAAACTGTATCTGATTGGATCAGCTTCTCGTGGATGGCCTTTTTTCAGGATGCTCATATGCATCATGGAATGCCATTACCGCTTGTCCTGTGCTGGATGTCTCATGGGATGAGTACCAGCCATGTTCGTTCCATGTCCATGATTGATCCCATCTTGGTCTGTCCAACCGGCATAGGTAGGCTCTATGGATGGTGCAGTCTGCTGGATGGCGGGCTGCTCCTCCGTCTTCTCTGCAGTGGCTGCGAACGTCTTGGATTTTCCTTTCTCCTGTCCGCTCTTTCCCTTGCCACTCTCATAGGATGGATAACATAGGGATATTGGAATTTTGATTTTCCTTTCTTTCCCTTCTTTCCTTTGCCTTGTCCCCAATATGCCTGGTCGTAGGGATCATAGTTTTCGTTGGCCATATTGGCCTTTCCGCCAGAACCGCTTTTTCTGAAGGGTTTAAAGCCACCTCGTTGGTGACTGCCCTTTTTGTTTCCTGATTTTCCTTTTCTGTTTCTCTTCTTGAACTTGAAGTTCCGCCCCGACACTTTTCTTGCTATGAACGCATCGTTCTCCTCGAGGACCCAGAACGTCTCTTCATCGTTGTTTGACATGAATCCTTCAAGTCCTTCTTCATCCTCAACCCAGAAGCCTTCTTCTCCTTCGTATTCACCTTGTTCGATGATGAAGAACGTGTTGCTTCGGCTGCCTCCTTGAGGTCGGATGGCTGGATCTTGGATCGATGTCCTCGTCGTGATGAAGAGTTCATGGTAGTGCGTCTTCAGCATCTCATAGGAGTAATTTTCCAGTGAGATGTTTCTTAATGACATTGCACTTGTCAGTCTTTCTCGTTGCTGATCTGACAGCTCACTTTGAATAATGAAAAACTGTGCAATGAGATTATCCCCGAAGGGAAATGCGTCCCGCTGTCTGTCCTGCATTCCTTGGATATACTGTCTGAGGACTGTCGGATCGTCCTCATTGAGCAGGGCTAGAGGAGAGGCGGTGCTCGAACACCGGCTGCTTGCTGATGTCGAGCAATTGTTCTTCCATTCGGGTCCTGTACGGACTGTCGAAATGATGGGGACTGTGCCGTGAAAACGGGCATCAAGTCCATCCATGCTGCCTTCAATCTCATAAGAAGGATTTCGAGTTTTGAGGTAAAAATGAGGAACTCTTGGTTCTGCCTTCTATGGTAGAAGAAACTGAGGAGTCTGTACAGATACACGTTGGTCGCACCTTTCAAGAAGTACTTCTTCAGCGTGTTCTTGAAATAGTTGACTCCTTCATCAGGATCTTGCAAACGGTCGTTTTGGAGGACCGCCTTGTACATATATGCATCTCCTGTTAATCTGCTTTTTGAGCAGAGGTTCTCTCTTGGGTGCTTCCACCGTTGTGATGGTCACCCAGTCGTCCACGAGTTCTTCATACCTCAACCAGCTGACTTTTCGCGGTCATCGATAAATTTAGTGTTTCCTCCGTATAGCCTGGATTTTTGGCCATACTTGAATAGGCTTCCATGAAGCCTTCTCCGTCGGATGACATCTTCCCTTGGATCTCTGCGGAAAACCCGCTCCGCTACCACAAATTGAGGCCCACTGCCTCAGGTGCCTATCCCAGAAGGGAACTGGTACCCTGTGGTAGTAGAGGTCGTTGTTGGTCCCTGGATCTATTCCGGAGAGAATCCAATATGATAGTGTGGATGATTGGAGGATGGATTGTCCCTGGTGGATTGTCTTGTGGATAATCCTGTAAGCGGCCTGCTGCGGTTCTTTTGTCTCACGCTATCACGGATGATGCTATGATCTACAAAAGGGGCCCTTGAGCCAAATGTTGCGGGATATCAATGGTCTGGAACACAGGGGGAGAGGGATGGTTGGCCCAATTTTTGGATCGCAGGTAAGCATTCACTCCCAAGCGCTCGCTGCCCTGCCGCCCGTCAGGTTTGGCCAATTGGGCTTGGGGAAGTGGACCGGTCACCAAAGGACGTCTCCCAAGACGAGACCCATTGTATGTGCTCAATTTTGAGGGATCACGAAAATGGGGGGCCCAATTCCCAGTTTTTTTCGGTTTGCTCTCAAAACGGGGCCGGATTTTTTCGGAGCAGACCACTTGTCAGGAGTTGGACTGCTCCAAGCTCTTTGATGCCAGCACCGCCATCGGCACGCTCTACTCCGCGGCCTTTTCGGGCGAAGCAGCCCAAACCATGAGCAGCCGGGACACCGGGCGAAATTGGTGTGTCTTCTCTTGGCGGTTCCCAGCCGTCGCCTTGGTTTTGTTTGGGTTTTAGGGGGTTAGTGGGGGGTTCCATGTAACCCACTAAAAGTTACACTGTTAGCAGGGAATCTGAGAACAACCCAGTTGTTTGTCTTTCTTTCTTTTTTTCTGAGGGTCATGAGGGTTTCTCAAGGCAATGGGACATGAACTTAAGGATGTCACGGTCCGTGGGGCCAGTTTAGGCAGGTTGAAGAGGTGCTGGCGGTGAACTTGCGCTTTGGCTGCCACACAAAATGGCCCTGTTGCCCATTCTGGTGGTTCTCTTAGCCCCTTTGGCTCAAGGCAGAGGTAGCGGCATGGTGGAACAGAGGGCCCAGCAATGGTTTGATTTGGCCCCACTGGCACTTTCTGATCCCGGCTGGGCCATCGATGCTTGGACGAGCCAAGGTTCCATTTCCCACCGGCCGTGCCCTTGGGGAGGCCAACTGCTGAGATTGGATCTTCGAGGTGTGCCCATCCCCGGCTGCGAGGCAACGGCTGTCCAAGTGAGGCCGGAAGCTCACGCCTGGCTTCCGCTTGAGACATCTCCAGAGCTTGTGCTGCAGGTGTCGCCCGGCGACGCCGTGCTCCGAGGTGCAGGAATTGAACAGGCGTCCGGCAAGCGCAAAGCCGCGCGCCTCTTTCATACCATGCTTCTTGGCTATGCGGTCCGGAGTTGTTGCCATACGGTTCCTTCGGAGTCTCTCCATTTCCCTGTGGAGTTGGAAGCCACCAGTAAATTGCAACTTTTGAAGGGGAATCCAGTGACCCGTGACATGTTTGGACTTTTTGAATTAAGCATTTAATGATATGTCCCGCTAAAAGTTTAGCTTTTAGCCAGGGATCAACGCACTACCGAGGTTTGGCAACCTGGAGGGGTTGTTCCGTGAAACCGAGCAAGGGCTCACGGTGAGACGCCGGCTTTTGCGACATTTCCCAGAGCAGGGAGACACCGCACTTTGCAGCCAGCCCATCGGTTCCAGTGGCATGCTGAGGGGGGCGTTGAGGGTAACCCGAGCCGATGGGTGCAACACCTTTCGCATTTGCTCGGTGTGGAGTGTGCCAGTCTTTCCTGCAGGGCCTTCGGTACAAGAATGTCTTCAGCAGATTTTGCACATGGGCTGCCAGGATGTCCTTCGCTACGTTAACCATCCTAGTCAGAAGCGCCTGCGTCAGGTTGACCAAGATTTGTATGTGATTTTGAGCCTTCAACATTTCCGGCGCGGACGACCTATGCTTCCTCATGTTGGCATTGAAGAGCCGGATGTTAGAATTTGTGCCGAGTCAGGGCTTTGTGATTGGACCGTCTTTGGTGAAGGGGCAAAGCCAAAGTTCCAGGCTGCCAGCTATATCCAGCAATTCCTCAAGCGACTCGGGCATGGGGTCAGAACCTTCAACAGATTGGACGGCCACAATTTGGTACCATACCAATGTGCCATTCGCCGGTGCCAGTGGCGGAAAGTCTCTCAGGATTTTTCTCAAGCCTTCAAACTGCAGAGGGCCGCATACCGACATTTCTATGGGGGCTGCACCGCACCTGACTTGAGAGAGGACACGTCTGCCTGCCTGCGACGAGAGCGGATCCAGACGACATGCTTCGAACATGCCCCAAGGCTGTGTTTCGTTGTTCGGCGAACCTTCATCAACATCGAGGAGGAGCATGAGGATGCAGACCTGCCAATGAGGAAGGCAAAATCCTTGCAAGTTCTTGGCTTGCACTAGTCCAGCTGCATGATTAACCCTCTCCAGGGTTGAGTCTGTGAAGACTCTGGCTCAATTCGGAGAATTGGCCAGTACAGGGGCCTTACGCAATTGGGGAACCCAATTGTGTTTAAGAATTTATTCTGAGTCGCATTGCCAGTCATCACAGCGTGATGCCAAGGAGTCTGTGAAAAGTGTAAAGATGTCGTTACTTGCGCTTCCGCCTTCCGGCACGCGAGTCTTTGAACGACTCACTGATGACTTTCTATCGCTGGTCTTTTCTGCGCATGCGCTTTGTACAGGACCCTCCAGATATACGCCTCCTGCATTTTATTGCACGATGGCTTATTGGCGCACAAGACGCCACGACACTCAGCATGGGTTGCCAGCGTCACTCGGGGAACAACATACTGCCTGGTTTCAAAGGGGTTATTGGAGTGGGGGGCTATTTAAACCTTCGGTAGAACCGAAGGTCAGTGGATTTGGGACTGTCTCAGTGTTAATGCAAGAGACACATTTTTTTGAATGGCGATGGGCTGAAGCAACTGGTGCGGCTTGGTCAGAAAGCCGTGTTTAGGAACAGAGGCATTTCCGTCTTGAGAACTGAGGACGCTGCAACCATCAAGTTCTATGATGAGCATCCTTTCATGAGCCTCGCCTGCAGGCTGAAATGCCACTGTAGATGTATGGTCACTGCATTTGAGCCTGTGCCGCTGCTGTAGCAGGGGTGGATCCTGGATGTCTAAGATGGTTTCCGTTACCTCCCAAACCACTATCCCAAGGGGGTACATACTCTTTACGTCACGAGGTTAAATGTCCTGTCAACCCCTGGGGTAGCGGAAACCATCTTTTGTGGCATGTTTGACTTCCCGTGTCTGACTTCTTCAGGAGGAGTGTGAACCATGTCTTCCAGGACGCGGTTGGCATGCCAGGTTAACCATCAATCCAAATCAAACAATCAATGGAGAACGATGTTGGGTGGCTCGGCATGGTGCCCCTTCTGTAGGGCTCTTTCAAGATTCCAGAAACGGAGCAACTGAGCAAGTGACGAGCTTGAGAGCGTCTATCAATCACCTGGCTTTCCTGTTGAGTTGGCAAACTTCAACAGTTTCGTTGATAGGTTCATTCGTCATTTTTGTAGTGACTCAAGAGTCACTTAAGAAGTGCAACCGACTCGGCAGGCCAGTTCCTAGGCCCACTTCCCCCGCTAAGATGTTGAAAGTGCTTCGAGAGGATTGAACTCGTCTCCACAAACCAATCTTGAGGATGCCTCAACCATCAAAACTTGTAGCCAAATGGGCACGTGTTTTGTAAAGGGAAACCATCGCCACCTTGAGGGCTCCATTCCCACACTTTCAGGCCTACGTAAATCTACGCCCCGTCTTACGAATCATAAGGCCCTGGCTGTTTCCACCAAAAGTCCAACAGAGACACACACAGAGACACACCCAGACACAGACACAGACACACACACACACACACACAACACGTGGGTTGGTAGGACAGGGGTTTCATGTTTCAACAGGCGGGCGCTAGGACGGCTTGCCTTGCAAGCGCTTCGGCCCTGCTGCGCTGCCCACGCTGTCGCCGGGTTATCGAGGCAGACGGTTTTCTCTGTTCGAAGCCGACCTTTTTGACCTTTTGGTGTTCCTTTGTTGGTCCATTTTTAGTAGAGGTCCCAAAAGGTTAACCTTTTATTCCCAGGTTCTTTGGGCAAGTGAGTTTCACCTCCCAGTGGAGCCAAACAGGCCATCGCGCCGGCAAAAGGGAACTAACAGACTGAAAAGTTGTAACTGATACTCAATCAAATGTCACGTCGGCTCCCAAGAACGACCGCTACCCATCTGCAGGAGAGGGTTCTGTGTGTGGTGTGGGAGTCAGTTAAATTGTAACAGACTCCTATAGGTCAACTTCGAATTTCTGTCAGTGCAATCAGTCACTAAGCATGGGCAAGCAGTGTCGTGACTGAATTCGGGGCCACTGATTGACTGGTCTTAAGTGGTGTTACGAAACCAGCTGTTCTCGAAAGGGTTCTAGAGGGACCTTCTTTGCGGAAAGGGTTTGAACAAAAAGGAACCCACGTGAAACGCTCCAAGCTCATAGTCAAGGGTTCTGATCGCCAAAGCGACAAAGGACTTGCAACCCATTCAGCGGGTCACCCAAGAAAAGGCCGCGCACTGCCTGGCAGGAAACTGGAGCACAACACATGACACGCTTCGGCTCAGCTTTGGCATTGTCCCATTATCTGATTTCTTGTTTCTTTCTTGAACGAGTCATTTTTGATATATGACTCCAGTTTGGGTTTGGTTGTCTTGACCTGTTTGAGCTTGGCTTCAAGGAAAGCCTGGAGGAAGACAGCCAAACCGCCTTGCAAGCAATGCGGCCTTGATGGCACGCAAGTGAAACGGGAAGGCCCAGGGCTGACTCGCGCAGGCAGGGAGTCCTGCCGTATCTTCACTCTCTGGGAGTATCCAGACAAAGGACAGCCGACCATTTGATGCCTGCACCCTTGAGCAATAACCCCCCAGTAAAAAAGGCAAAGGTCCCGGGTCGCCTGCAAGAAGGACATCCTCACCAGGGCCCTTTTTTTAACTGGGGAGGCATGGAGCGACAGCTATGGAGGGTCCTGCTTTCCGGCACCCTCCCCCAGATGACAGTTGGATGATTTTGGTGGGAAGCCTGCCCCTGCAGTTCCCCCACGCCTTCCGCCAAAGGAGCGCCGACGTTCAAGATGCTGAATATTGAATCATGGCGCCGGCACACGCATGGCCTTTGCCAAGAGCCAATCCTCATCAATGACAAGAGCCCAAGCCTGCAACCAGATCCACCCCAGAATCAGATGTGGCCATTTTCCTGAAAGCTGAAAAGTGATTCTCTTGATTGAGTTGTTGCAGTCCAAGTTTGTTTAACCCTGCGCCATAGATAGAGAGGAGGATGATGTCACATATCCCTATTTATATACTACATAGATACATACATACATGTACATATACTTATGTACATATATATGTACATGTATATGTATATATTTATATATATGCATACATACATGCACACACATATATATATATACATATTACTGCATATGTACATTGCACACGCCACGCATGTGTCTTAGCCGCCACAGGAAGCCACAGGAACGAACATGACTGTGAGGCGCCATGTCGCCGTTTTTCCGAGGAACGTCAAGGAATGGATCCCGGACATGCCGGACGAGTACTTCAGGCCTCGGCGTTTCCACGGCATGCGCACGCAAATGGGACGCTCAAAACGTTTGACCTTCCACCAGACTAAGAACTTGCTGGTGCGATAGCTCTCACACTGAGAGTATACCCGATTCATATCACAAAAGCACGCGACGGTTTTGTCACAGCACATGGCCCGCTGTGCATGGTCCCTCATCCTGCTGCGTCCACAGTACAGTGGTCCTTGCAACATGTGCTTGCCAGACGTGCAGTACTGTGCAGCCATGATTCCATCATGAGCCCAGAACATTTCATTGATGGCGCAACTATCTGGTCCCAGATATCTACATTTAGCTTCGGTGGCTTTGCAAGATTCATTGCGGGCTGCCCAGCTGCTATGAAAAACATGTTCGCTCATGGGAAAAGAGCTAGTTCAACTCACTTTCATTCAACAGCGCCAGTCAACATTAAATGAGCCTTCATCGTGGTAAAACTTCAAGATCTTCTCTTAGTGCTCCTGCATTGATACTGCGCTCCTGGCGATGCTTGAGCCTGTGAATAGGCAGCAGCATTGTTCTCGCCAGCAGCTTGTGCACTCTATATAAAAGTTTCTTTTACAAGCCTAAAAGCATACGACAGAGTAGCACGAAAGTATGGACCAATGGGAAGAAAAGTAGACTTGTTCACCCCCCTAAAGAATCAGTTGGGGTACATTAACAAGTACCGGGGCTTGGTGATGCCCGGCTTTCAAGAGACCCAGCATCTTTGGATGCACGGCTTCAGTTCCACTTGGGCAGGATGCCAGCGCCAGCGCCGAAGTCTGACCTGATTCGATATGCCCTTCTCTACCACCACGGGGGCCTCTACATGGATGCCGACTTTGTAGCTGTGAAGGCTGGAATGGAAGGGGTCAAACGCATAGGTCGGTCTTTTGCACCTTCTAAGCATGAAACTGACCACTCCCCCTCGTCATGGGCTGGGAAGGTGTGACCTGCCTTTACATCAAGCTGACCGCCTATTCGGGGCTGTCACGGGCTTCCCTTTCGAAATGTGCCATGGGTTCAAGTTTATTTCGAGGCTATCCAATAATGGACCCCGTGTGTCTAAATACACCCTCATCCGTCTCTCCCTTTGTTTTCCGAGAATAATTGGAGGACACCAGTTGGGGTAGTCAACCATTGGTTTTGTTGCCCCCAGATAGAACATCTTAAGTTCATGGAGCAACCCATGGGTTTAAGTCTACCTTGACATCAAAGCATGACCGCCGCTTTGAAAGTGCGGGTAGGACATGGACCCGATTGTCGCGCTGCTCGAGACGCACGACTTCATTTCCTACCAGGAGAAAGGCGGGACAGCCGGACAGCCTGAAGACAGGAACACTTTTCCGAGGTTTGCGGTTAAAACCCCCACAGACAACAAAACAATCATTGCTCCAAATTTGGTCTAGTCAAAGTTCCAAAAGGTTCACCTCTTATCACAGGGTTAAGGGGCAACTGAGAACTGGGACCCTAACTTGGTCAACCCATTTTGGAGACCGTTTCGACATCTCAAGAAATTGCACAGGCGAGCCGGGGCAGGTCTGCTCTTCGGCCTTCAGCTCCAACCTGCTGGGCGGGAGGCAAGCGAATCGACCGATCTGACCTGTTGGTTTCCCGTGTTTGGATCTGTTTGGTCCATTTTCAGTCGTGGCTCCACTTCATATTTCCGGGTCCTTTGGGCAACTGAGTAAGTTATGGCTTAAGACACGCTGGTTGACTTTGAAGGGAAACCCACACAAAGGGGGAAAAATGCACCCCTGGACAGGGTTGGGCGACCTTGTGCATGTTTCAACCGCTCTGCAAACACACACTTGGTTGCCCTCCGACAAACCAGGGTAGAGTTTTGAGCATGAACCAACCCTGGCTGTGTCCTAAAAGGGGGATTCGGAATACGAGATAAATTTGTTGCAGACTCCTGACTCCAACCCCTCAAAACCGAATTATACCCCCAAAAATGCGATTGCAACATAGACCCACTAAGTTAATCATGCGGAGGGAGCCTCCTTCTTTATGTTATGCTGGCGTCCCTGTTTATTTCATGCCTACCTCCGATTGATCGCTCGGCTCCAGGAAAGGCAGCGCCGTGCACAAGTTTATTTGGGACCGGCAGAAGGAGAAGATGCAAGGCCGGTGCGGGAAGGTCATATCTGGCAACGAGGCGGGGTAAAACTGACAGGTGGTGCTTTCTATCGTGACCTGAGACCCAGCAGTCTTCCTGAATCCCTGCGACGCAGGCATGCTGCTACGACAGCCCCAAGAAGAGGTGCAACGTGCCGTGGGCTGCGCTGGGCGAAGGCGCAGCTAGGCTGCAAGAATCGCCAGAGCGAGGGTCGGAAAATTGGTAACATGTTGAAAGCAATTCGTCACTTGGAGTAGGGGTTTGGTGGCCTTAGGCCAAGTGAGGAGCGGCTGCTCTTTTTTTTTCTTGTTTGTCATTGAGGGCGGGACATGGACTTGCTACTGCGGGTTTCGCAGATCGTCATTCTTGGCCCCCCCAAATTCTCACAGTCGCCGCACGTTGAAAGGCCATTTTAGTGGTGGATGGTAAAACATTTCATCATCCACTGTTGGCTTCGACGGTTGTGCCAACGTCACGTTTCGACCGGTAGAAGCACCCATCATGGGCACTAAGCGCGAAAGTGCGAAAATCCGCTGTTGGTGGCCGGGGGCAGGGTCCAATGTCAATCTCTCAACTGTTGAACTTACAGAACCATCATCAACCATTGCAAGGCTTCCCAGTGCTGAAGCCATGACCACGACCCATAGAAAAGCAGTTGGCGCACTTGAGCGCGTTTCTGGCCTCAAATCTCTGCGGGAGGATTGCAGTGAAAGCATCGCGGACTGCACCCAATATCAACCCAGCCAATTGCCCCGCACGGTGCGGCTTTGCGAACCTCGGGTCCTGAGGTTTCTCACCCTGCCTTCAACGATTTGATGAGAACAGGCGCGGCATGTGACACACGGCGTGAACACGCGAGGTGCCAATGCCACGCAATGCCGCAATTAAAGCCTGAGTTGATAAACGGTAGGGCGGAGTCCCGACAAAAAAAGGGGCGACGGCTTGCTTGTTTCAACTTGCTATGTCTTTGGTAGGCCCCTTGAATACAAGGATTTAATCATGACTCATAGCTCATGTGCGCGTTCACGTGCGGTGGGGTCTCAGACCTCGAGGCGACATCTTTGAGACATTCTGCTTTGCCGACGAGTGGACCTTTGTGCCGGACCACTTCGCCTACTCGGTGGAGCACATCCCCGCCAAAGCTGAAGCGGTGAAATACATGGAGGTGGCAGCTGGCAGATATGTCCTGATTCGGAGCAGTTGCAAGGGGATCCAGCCTGATTGTAACCAGTAGTGTCTATACGGAACCCAAGGCTCATGACCTTCCATGCCTCCCCTTGCGAGTTGGCTCATCATTTTGCTTGGTGCTCGGGAAGCCACTGACATAATGTGGATTTTTCATGATGGAGTTGCTTTTCGGTGGCTGCGAAAAGTCCGACGCAGGAGAGGGGAATCAAGAAAGCTCTGGACAGGACCGCCCATTGCAACTTTCACCGGCAGCAGCTCCACATATCAGGGGATGTGTTCATCGCATCCTAGAATCAGAACCCATTTGCGACCGAACCCGTTCAACAGGTCACCCAAACATGCCCGAGCCTTCCGCAACCAAGGGACTCACTGAATCTTTGAGAAACAATGTTGCTCACATCCTGTCAGGATTGTGTACCACCTCTTCAACGCCATAACCCCATTGAAGACCTGGAAATGCGCGACGCTGCTGGATCCCAGACGCCTGGTGGGTTATTTGTACTCCGAGCCTTGGGTCAGGAAATGAGACCTTGTGTGTGTGTGTTTTTCGAGCGTGCCAAATGTTGGGAGGGGGCGTAAAAGGGGAATTCAAAGGGAAGCCATTTTGGGGGTCCATATGATATCCCATGTTGCGACAAACCATGTGTTGGTTCCATACCCTTTTGTTCAATTCAAGCTGCTTCACCCTACAATGCCACCTGTTCTGACTTTGTTGCGACATCCATGTTTGGATTCCATATCAAATTTTGCGACAACCCGTTTAAACTCACGTTTCACCCAATGCCTGGTCATGTCGTGTGCCTCTCGCAAGGAGAGCTTTCAGTCCGAGAACGGACGACGCCCTGTGCCAAAGTCGCCTGAGTCAGATGCCTGGCTGGAGGCTAGGGAAACCCACACTTGGGTTGATGTGTGGGTTGGAGCCGTGCGCAAGAAGAATCGAATAACTCTTCAAATAATTTCAGCTGAGTAAGATCCACATCCTCGCAAGGCATGCGGTTTTTGGATGCATCGTGCAAACCCCGCGAAATGGATGCCACAGACACAGAGCTGTAGAGAGATGCCAGGATGGTTTTGGGAGTCCCAGTTTGGAGCAACCCCTCCGCGTAGTCTTTCTTGCGGTTGCCTAGCACTTGAAGCATTGAAGACTTGCGCAGGCCCATCCAGAGTTTGGCAAGTACCAAGAGGCCGGGATTCAGCGCCGCTGGAACACTAGGAATTGGCCCTGGTTGCGAATCCACTTCGGGGGAAATAAAAACTTACCTCTTAAAAACGCAACTTTTCAACTTTTCGGGTAGCATGGGCTATATGTCTGTAAAAGATTAACTTCCCCAGGGCTTGGAGTTTTAAGGGGAAATAAAAAGGGCGAGGGGTATGAACGGCACGCCTTTTGGGGGACTCTTGGAGCCGTTCGCCAGGTCTACAACGGCTGGCAGCCGTGCCCCGGGCCTGTGGAGACGACGCCGGAGCCGCCTGCTCCGGACAGCGAGGACACGGCAGCGACGTCCGCCAAAGGGTCGCAGCGCGAGAGCGCAGGGAAAGGGTCCAACCAATTAAGATTCAGACCCAAAGGGTTCCAAGGATGACGTCTTGTTGGGGGCAGAGGTCTAGGAGATGACGGTTGGGAACTGGTGCCGGTCTGTCGCAGATGATGCGCTTTGATATACCTGGCCTGGTGACAGAAACCAGAGGCAAGAAATTCGACCAGAAAGTTGCCAAGTAGCGGTTTCCAGGGCCTCTTTTCTGCTGCCCCAAGAGTAGCACTGGCTGGTTTTGGGGACGAGCGATTGAGCAGGGGTGTCCATTTTACCGCACGACGAGCACACGAGGTTTTGCTTGACCCTGGAGCTATGACAGGAATGCAAGATCTTCACGCTGTGGGAGTACAAAACGGGGCCGCCCCTCGCGGTGGCCTTGAACGTGGAAGGCGGGGCGCGCCGGACTCGGAGTTGCTTGGCAAGCGGCCGGATTTGACCTTTTGGGTTGCGCTTCTTGGCGACCCGTGGCCCCGAAAGCTCAAGCTGTTGTCTCTGGCCCTGGCCACTGGGGTCAGGCGCGAACCAGGGTTTTCCAGCTCCCGAATCGCTCGCGTGAAGTGGACAAGAGGGATTTGAGAGACTACCATGCTTCTGAAGTGGACCCTTGTCCACTTCCGTCGTCGAAACATCTGTCGCCTACCATAGAAGCACCAGACTCCCTTCGGAAGACTTGGAAGAACCTTTCGGCCAAAACGAGGCTCGAGCATGTCCGGAGCGCTGTTTATCCATTTTGCAACCTACTGGACAAAAAACATGTCGACATTGGCATCCTGTGTCGTTTTTCGCTTGGCAGCGGGGCTGACTTTTGACTTCAGCGACTTCCGCCCTGGCGCCATGGCTGCCGCGCCCGCGCGGCCCGGGCAGACTTCCGCCGCTTCAGCCGCCCCGGTGGACTTGAGGCCTGAACCTGCCAGGGCGCCGCCCTTCAGCGCCCCGGACATTTGGAGGATGCGGCTCACGCGCGGAAGTTCTGCTGGTTGGGATGGAGGGATTCGTATACTGTAACTGGTTGGGCTGGGAGTGGCTTTCCCGGAACTGGGTCCTGGGTCAGGCCAATTCTGCGGGGCAGCGACCCGTACAGCTCCGCCCCCGCCTGACAAATGGAATTGCGAAGGGAGTTTCATTTTCCCCGCAAAGGGCTTAGCACTATGCCTCGCCTCGATGAAAATTTGATCAGACAATTCCGGCAGCGAATGAAGCCACTCGCATGGCGCGAGTGTCTCGAGAGCCTAGCAACACCTGCCAGCTTGAGCATCGGCAGCAACATCCCCTGCCTCGCCGAGCAAATCCGGAGCACCCGTTCCCACACACCGAAAGAAGTCGCATGCGGCCACTTGCATTCGACTTAATTACGGCCACTCCACGAGGGCACTTGTAGGTGGTTGCTGGACACTGGGGGGAAACCACCCTTCAATTGTATATACATTTGTGTATATACATTTGTTTTTCGAGGGGGGGTTTCCGTGTTTTCCAGTCTTCCAACCACAAATTGGCACCTTTTTCACCCCAAAATGTGTTGCAAATTGTGTGCTGGAAGCTTACCAAACTGTATTGCTGCTGCTTCGGCAATGTTGTTGCGTGCAACGCGGCCACTTGCAGCCACTTGCGAGATCGCCCTCGGACGAAGTCGAGGGGGGGTCTTGGAAGTCTTGGAAAGGTGTAGCACTTCCATCCTGAAATGGTGCAAGATGGATTTGTGTGCGCTGCAGCAGGTACCTTATCGCGTTCATGCTGCTGATGTGCTTCTACTCTTACGATGGACCAGTGAGTCTTTTGGTTTCTGCTCACCTTGCGGCAACACATGAAAAATCCGCACATGTTTGATGGGCCCGTTCTACCGCCTAGGAAAACTAAAAAAATGCCTAGTATATGGGATCTCACGGTTAGGCTCATTGAAATAAGGCATCGCGCGAGTGGTCAAAAATTGCTGACCCCCGCACATGTTGGAAATTTAGTTTTGTCCCCTTTGTGCAGCCTTTCTAGGATATCGGATGCTTGGATGAAACGAAACCGCATAGGCGTCCTTCTGGGTTGGTTTTAGAAGCTCGATGGCAGTTCCTGGTTGGCTTGGATGTCAACCATAATATCTACCAGGGCCATCCATTTGCCCAGAAGGGTACGCGATGGATTTGATCGAGTCGAAAGGCGCCCGGCTCCCAGGTCGCCGGCCAGAGCCCTCGCCCATTTTCGGCTGCCTGGCTTTGACCTGTGCGGCCAGCACGAGACACCCTTCGCGAGTCAGGGGCCTGCGACGCAGGGCAGGCGCCCGAGAAATCATGCTGAAGAACCTGCCAGCGGGAGAAGCCCCGAAATGGATCAACATGTGTGGTTGATTTTTTGTGCTTTCCCTCTAAAATTGAAGGCGACAAGGGTACCATCAAAAGAACACATGTCCATATAGGCTTGTCTCAAAATTCCACATTACCCCTGAAAATGGGCGCTTGCCCTTTGGCCAAAAAGGGGTACGCTCAAAAAACACATTCCCATGTAGGCTTCAAAGTGGCCTTCTTTTGGGTTCCAAAAGGTCGTTGGATAGGTAGGTGCGTTTGCACCTGCGCAGTCGGACTGGCATCTGCCAGTTGAAAGCAGCCTGTGGTGCCCTGAGGTGATGCAGCCAAGAAGCGGAATTTGCTGGAGAAGCTCCGCGCCAAGTTGCCCAAGGCCCCCAGCAAGGAGGAAACTGTGGCAGTTCATGCAATCCGTTTTTTTTGTCGGCAGACTCAACTTCTTCTTGTCGGCGCTTCTCAGCTATATATATATATACATATACATATATATATATATATATATATATGTATCTCAGGTTACACTTACTTGGTGCTTTGGATTTTGAGTTTGAATTCCCCTGGTTGTAGAGGGTAGATGGGAAACCCCTGAACCAAACCACCCAGCGAAAGAGAAATCGAATCGCAGGAGCTGAAGAAGTACGGCACCGCCATGGCCTTCAGCTATTCTTTTGTGGGCACCTTGATCCTTGGCTCACTCACTTCATTTCAGAGAAGCGGCCAATTCATCCTTCTGTTTTCCTGGCAGCCACACAATTCCTGAGCCTTATGCCCATTTACTCCTCTTGCGAGGGTTCATTGCGATGGACCAGGTCCGGTGCCCTAAAACTTGGCAAAGTTTGCTCAAACCACCAGGGTCCTGGCCCTTCAGAGGGTTAATTGTTCCCTGTTTAAAGAAGTAAATCTTTCGTTGCCTGCTTAATGCGGGGAACACTAATTTTGATCAGCAAGAGTGTTTAACATGTTGCCTGCCTAGTGGGGGGAAATCAAAGGCAGAACAGAAACCCGCATTCTAATTACAGGAGAAATGTCCAAAAAACAGCCAAGGTTGAGGGATGGGTGATTCACCCCTCAACGAATAACCATGGTTTCAGCAACCAAATCTTAGCTGGCACGCCCAGAATCATACGCGATTGAGACAGGGTCATGGCAACCTTCAGGCAATAGCCAGGGGACTTCACGTTGCATCCTACCCATTTGAGCAGCGCCTTGATTCCACTTGGCTTCATGGGGGGTATGGCAAGATCTATGCCAACAACCAGTGCTTCCATTTGCTCAGTACTATATTGCTTGTTTTCACTTGGTTTCAAAGGGAATCTGTCATCTTCACTTCCTGGTTTCAAAGGGAATGTATCACAAGGCGGGGCTTAAGCAAATGGAAGCGTACAAGCATTTTAGACCCAACGTCAGCTGCCCATGTGTGATCCAATCCACACGCGTCAGCCAGGAACCTGTGCATGATGATCGCGGTGAGCTGGCCTTTGTTCGTGGCCCGCACCGGTGGCAGTCCCTTGCTCTTCGCACCCTTGAAGCTGAATCCCAAGTTCCTGGCCTACCTCACAGGCCAAGGGCCGAAAGCTGCGCAACACTTCGGTTCTGTTTCTGGGGGTTTATCAATGCCACAACCTGGCGTATCTTCCTTCAACGTACCCTTCTAGCTTTCGTTTTGGGGTTTAGAGGCCGCCAACCAGAACTTGGCCTCCCCCCTCTTGGTGTTCTGGCTTGTTGTGCTTAGTTCTCCGTGAAAGGGGCGCCCATTTGGACCTGACCCCGCTCGAAGCTTTCCAACCACTCCCGCGGCAGGTGTGTACTTCACCTACGGCAGCATCACCACGCCCTTCCTGTTGGCCTTCGCGCTGGGGCTGGCGCCCTTCTTCTCAGGCCTGCTCTCGGGTCTGCAGAAGCGGATGAGGTGCCCCAGGCGGGATGGGCGATGGGTCTGGCGTTTTTGGTCTCCTCCGAAAGGCATTGAGGGGTCTCAAGACCAGGTGCCCCAGCCCTTTTTACCCTTCCTTTGTTGGTTGGGAGGGTTCTCCTACTAAAATAGACTGGCGCTTCCAGTGGAGGACCCAGACCCTCCATTGGACACCCCAGAGGGGTTTTGGGGTCTCAAAACCTGGCTGTTTGAGGGCCCCAAATAAAAATCGGGAGCGCCTGGGTACAGAAACAAGTTGGTACCTGATTCTGACCTCTCTACTGCAGGACTGGAGGACCTAGACGTGAATCTGGAAGATTCGTTTTGGTATACCAGGTATACCTCTGATTTGGGCCATTGAAGTGGTTGCGATGAAGGGAACCCATCAAGTGCTTATGGTGGCTGCCGTTGTCACGATGGCTCGATGGCTTGCTAGGTGGGGGAAGGGGTTCCGGGCCCCGTTTGCTTGGGCGCTTCCGGATCTAGAGTTGCATACCTCAGTCCAAGGGGCTTGGAGTCATTGGTGTCCTTGACTGGATGGCCCTGGTTGACCTGGCGGTTGTAAACCATACTCTGCCAGGGCCATCTATCTTCCCACAAGGACACCTGCTTGGAGTTCCTGTTGGATTTGGGTTTTTGGTGCTTGGGAAGTTGTGATGAGTGGGGACGAAAGAGTTATGTTCCTTGGACAGGGGGTCCCTGTAGCTCTGGCCTTTACTTGGCTGGTCTTGTGACAAATAGCTCCACGAAGCTTACAGGTGATCGACCTGCTCAGCTTCCTTAGGGCAACCCACGTGGCCATGGGACTCTGGGACCCCGAGCCAAAAACCGAAGCCCGCGACTCAGGTGGCTGGCCTTCTTTCTGCTGGGGGTCATCATGGCGGCATGCTATGCTTTGGCACTTCCGCTTCTCATCACTTTGTGTTGCGCAGCCTTCCGGCAGCCCGTGTGGAAGTGAGAGGAAAGACCTCTCAGTCCCAAGAGCTGACGTCTTCGGCGGTTCCCAGCCCTCCCCTCTTGGCCTTTGAGGTGTTCAGGGTTTAGTGGGGGTTTGCATTGAAGTAACCCACTCAAAGCTAAAAACTGTTGGCAAGGGACCAGAAAACGAACCGCCCAGATATACATTCCATCGGCAACTGCTTCCAGCTTCCAATGAAATTTGATGCAACTTTTGCATTGGACCTGGCAAGTTGCGGAGCGAGACTGAGTGATACTGTGGATGGACGAAATCCTGCACCTGAGAAACTCTGGAATGATTTGATTCCCCTGTAAATATGAACAAACAATGGTTTCCCCATTGTTTCAAAGTGGTTCAGGCTTTCGCTCATCCACAGTGGCAATAGAAGTACTGCGAGTCAAAACAAGACGGGCGCTGTTTGCAGCTTGGCTCGCCGGCTGTCGCTGGGTTGAGTCAAGAAAGGTCTGAAATGAGCCCGCAAGGATTTCAGAGCTTCATTTTAAACCCTCCCTATTGCCTAGGACTTCCAAGTGTCACAGATTCCAGAAGGCCGGTGGAGATGGGGCCTAACATCAATGAGGTGTTGAGGTGTTCTTTGTGCAAACGCCGCGGCAAGACTACAGTTGCAGGCCCTAAAATGTACATTTTCAGGGCGCCCTAGTGCCACCGCAGGCTGGCGCCGTCACTCTCAGGGCCGATGTGGTGAACCGGTGCTGATTAACGATGAGAACGTGCAGAGCCTCGGGCAAAGTGTCACGTCCGGTCGTGCACGGAGAGGCAGCGATCGAATGGATACCTTGGAGCAATCCACTAGCATGGTTCGGGTAACATGTACGTGGGAAACTGCATTGCCCCGTTCTCAGTGAACGGATTGATGCCACGTAGTTGCAGCTGTTGGGTGAAGCCGCGTCTGATTTCCAGCATGTTCCAGCGCATCACAGGCACTTGCGGATTCTTTTGAGACCTTTTTCTGCCTGACTTTCGGGATGTTGTACATCCATGCTTCGTCGATGAGTCCAGTCACATGTCTTTACGAGGCTCAGAGGCAGAACCTGAAATTGTGAAGTTGCTTGCGCTTGCTGCGCACATCGAAGCGCTTGAGAGAAGGGAGTCTGTGGACTTCGTCAGTAAGAGCTGTATGGTGCCTGTACATATGCTTGTGCCTAGGACCTACCTTCCAGACATGCCAGAAGAGTACTTCAGAGCCTTGGCACCAAACCATGATAGTCAGGGGTTGGAATTCACAAAGGGGAGTTGGTTGTGGATGGGTATGGCTGGTTGTGGGTCTGCTTGCATGTGTCTTGGCAACCCATGGGTGGGGGGCGTGGGTGACCAAGTGGACTGCCCAAGGAATGCCATACTCGCAGGCCAAGTCAGACATCATCAGGCGCGAGTTGTGAGATACTTCAAGTCGTAAGGGGCCTTGCTGCTTATTGTTGTGCAAGAGTTGTTTCCGGCGCAGCTCCAACCCATGTTGGCAATGGGTTTCCGATGTCTACTCATCCACAAGGGAAATTGTGCCATCTAGAGATCCGGTGCAATCTCTGCCTGTTGGGCATGCCAAAGCTTCGCGTCGACTCGGCGCATCTCCGCGACTGCAATGCGGCGAAGGTATGGCCTTCTTTTTCATCACGGGGGTATCTACATGGACACGGACTTTCTCGTGGTGAAGGACTTGTCTATGGCCATCCGACCCTGCAACGGCGAAAGTTGTGCTTACATGTTTTGTGTTCATTCGTTTGGCACCCCTTTCCAGCAAATAATTTGAAGGGTCGTGGGAATTGCCCACTGTGCCATTCCCCTTTTTGTCACCCCGTTTTGCAGAAATTTCCACCCCAGCCCCATTTCCCGGGCCCCGTTTTTGGGTTGCATGTTGGTGTATCGCTCTTTTGTTCCCTGCGACAGGCCCCGAACTCGTACGTTCGCAGCGGACGTTTCGGGAGGATCTCGGAGAGGTCTTGGACTTGGCGCAGAAGTACGACCTCGTATCGTACACAGATGCGCCTTGTTCTGGGTGTCTTTTCTGGATGGTTTTGAAGGGAAACCAAAGGAAACCCATTTTAGGGTTTTCGGATTTGGAGGCAACCCTTCTGTTTGGGAACGGGTCCGGCAGGCAGAACCTGATGCGGTTGTTGCTTGAGCCGGTTCAGTTGTTGGTGGTGCTACCGTTGTCCTTCAAAGTTCAAAGTGACCTTCTCGTGGGCTCGGTCAAGATATCCAGAGGTCTATAGTCTATTGCCCATAATCAGGGGACGAGCTCTAGATTGCAGGGGCACGATGTTTTCAACGACCCCCTTTCTCCAAGTTCCCAACTTGTGCTTTTCACACTCTAGTTACCTCTTGGTCGCGGGGTCCAAAAGGCAGGTTGGGTTGTCCCTTTCGCGACAAGCTGCTTGGGTGCACCGTCCCCCTTTGGAAGACGATTTTCCCTGAGGGCGGGTTCCTGTGCTCTTGAATGTTTGTTGGGGAGCGGGGGGCCAGGAGGGCATTTGTCTTTTAGCTCGCTGGCACTGAGGTTTAGGCGGCCATTTCAGTGGTAGGTGTTACAAGTCGCGTGATTGCCCGGCCGCACTTGCTTCAGGAAAGCACCGGCGCTTTGGAGAAGGGTGCCATGGCTGCAAAGGGAGAGTTGTTAAGTTCCTGTGAAAAGGAAGCAAAGCTCGCCTCCACGCTCCTGAAGCAGACACCAAAGGGAAGCACTCATTTTATGAGCCCCTGGGGCCCAACACGGCTTCTATTGAACGGGTCCCTACCGCCACTTACACGTCCCAGAATCAGAGCCCATTTGTTGGAACCCATTCAGGTGTGTGTGTTCTTTGGTTGACGGGGTACCATGGGGTACCCTCAAAAACATGAACACTTATACACTTATATATTGACTTCTGTGTTGTCCGTTGCTCCTTGTCAGTTCTGTGTGTCGTGTCTGTTCGGAGGTGTATGTGTTGCGAGCCGTGTGCCGTGTCCTGTGTCAAGTGTGGTTGAGGACCTTGGTGGCTGCATGAGAATACGCCCCTTACTGCGCTCCTAGATTCCAGTAAGCCCCAAGGAAGATACGCAGTGAACCCCACCGTTTTTGGGGCTTCCCCGCCATTGTGATCCTGGTCTGGCATCTGAAGAGACCAAGGGGCCTGCTCCAAGCACTTTAGCTCCAACTTCATGGCGGCCCGGAAGGGCAGCGTCTTTATGAAGGCGGTCTGGGACAGACAGAAGCCCCTCGGACGGATTTCTTCGCTGCCTCCGAGCTGGGAATACGCGACTCATGGAATCGGCTTCCGAGGCCATTGGCTGCGGGTTTGATTCGATTGGCTTCCCCTACCGCCAAGAAGTGGTTCCTGAAAAAAAGGAACAGCACCAAAAAGCATTGTGGTCTGCAGTCAATTTGGGAGGGACATGGGAGGACAAGCCAAGGTTTCCGCACGAATGCACCAGGGCTCACTGGTTTCTTCCCTGCGACGGGCGGCCGCGTGTTTTTGGCATTGGCTCACGAGGGATACGCTTGTCAGACGCGAAGTGAGTCTGTGCGTTGGCTGGCAATGTGTGTTGAGGCAGCTGATGCAAGCCCATTGCCCGCTGTCGGAGAAGGAGTTGGAGAAGGTGTGCTGCTTTGACAACGCCAAGGTGCAGTGTCACATTCCATGGGCTGGCCCCTTGGTGCATAGCTTCTTTCCCATGTGAAAGAGACACGGGGGACTCCATTGCCAGAAGCAGCTCATGGGTTTTGACTATATGCCGCTATTCCCTTTGGAGGCAAAGGACATGGCAAAGATTCGCGGTTCCATGCTTGTGCCATGCAACATGTGATTCACCTCGCCCCAGCGATCTTGAACCTGCTGTTTTTCCTTCATGACATGTTCCAGGATTCCAATTTGAGGGCCTTCGCGGACCTGGTCTCCACAATGAATAGGGCATTGCTGTCAGTGCCCTTGTTGGGCGAACCCAAGCAACCCCACCATTTTCTGGGTCACCTGTTTTAAGACACACGCCCAGATATATGTCTGGGTAGGCCAAATGTGAAGAATCTGTTCATTTGTTGTCCTCAGACTTGTGCCAAGGTACTGCTCACAGGGGCGTGGGAAACATTTAAAGCAGGGAGCCCCCACATCCTGCTATTTTCTGTTTTAGCCGCAAGCAAATAATAACTTAAACCCTTCGAGCCGCTCAAATCACGCCGGTGACTTCCGAGGGATCGGAGAAGGGGTGTCACACCCGGTCTTCGATGAGCTGGAGGGCGAGGGGACGCCGTTTAGCAGCTACTGCTTCTCAGACGAGAGAGGCGCCAAGAGGGTTTGGGCAAAGAGTGTAGCCAAAGGTGGTTGTTGAAACAGTTTGGTGGTTTAAGCTCTTCAGGTTTAAGGGCCGTTTTTTTCTCGGTTCAGCTCATGGAGGCTTTACCCCGCCGGACATGATCAACATCCTGGGCAAGACCAAGCTGGCAGAAGCCGAGGAGATCTGGGGGAAAATGGAGAAGCCAGCGGCCCGAGATCCACTCGGCCGGATCATGTACCACACCTTCAACTCCATCATGCCATGGTCCGGCTTCTCATGCCGGGATGCTCAGTTTCGATTGCCCACAAAACGGCAGTTGCGGCAGTTGCCCGGAGGGTGTTTTCAAATGGGTGAACCTACCGCGTCCCCTGACCTTCCTTCAGCTAAGTTTCGAAATCGCACCGGCCTTCTTGTTGATCGGGGAGCCAAGGGGAGGTTATTTAAACAGTGGATTAAACAGTCATGTTTTAACAAGGGGCTGGCAAAACTCGGGCCCCAGGAACAAAGCTTATGGTTTGGACCCATAGATGTATGAGCGCACACACACACACATGCGCGCACACGCGCATGCACGCATGCGCATCACGCACACCCCCACACCCAGGCCCACACCCAGGCCCACACCCACACCTACCCACATCCACCCACACACCATTATTGGCTGTGTCAAAGGGAAACCAAAAGGACAGCCACTTTTTTTGGGCGCCAAGCATTCATTAATGTTTGGTTCTACTAATGTTGTAAAGTATGGTTGTAAATTGGATATAGTGTTTATACAGGATTTGCTGGTTCCCCCCCCCCCCCAAACAATTGAAACAGCAGAACCACGCAACATGGCCAATGGCGTTTTGGGTGCTGAATTGAGTGTACGTGGTGTGTGTGTGTGTGTGCTTTTGTGCTTGTGCTTGTGCTTGTGTTTTTGTGTTTGTGCTTTTGTTTGTGTGAATGTGTGTTTGTGTGTTTGTGTGTGTTGTTTGGTTGTTTGTGTGTTTGTGTGTTTGTGCGTTTGTGTGTTTGTGTGTTTGTTTGTGTGTGTGTGCGTGTGTGTTCGTGTGTGTGTTTGTGTGTTTGTTGTGTGTTTGTGTGTGTGTGTGTGTGTGTGTCTCTCTCTCTCTCTCTCTCTGTGCGCGCGTTCGTGCGTTACACACACACATTGTTCCTATGATCCAGGCAAGCAGATCTTTGACACCAGCTCAGTGTACGGGAAGTTGAACTACCTCAGCTTCACAACTGGCAGCGGTTCCATCGCCAGATTTAGTTTGATGTGTGTTTTTGACGGTACGTTTTCACTTCGGTCAACAGGGAAGCCAGAGGGAGAACCATATTGTTGGGGTACCCTATTTTGATGCATGTCTAACTCGCATTTTCACTGTTTGCTTTTTGAATTCCTTCATTTGCCTTCTGTTTCCGGGTCGGCCTTCGCCCTTTGCCATCACTATGGTTGCTTTTGTGTATTGTCTCCCTCTGGCAAAAGTTGGGCTCCCTTCATGTTCTCCTCCCTTCATGTTCCCCTTTACCCAGCCACAAGTGCACATTTTTCGCGGATCAGAGGTTCCAAGAGCTTGCCCGCGACGCCGGAGTACATGGAGTGGCTTCAGAAGACCCTTGAGCTTGCAAAACATCCCTCGACGGGGTATGGAAGGGAAGGGGGGTGGTATCCTACACCCTCTCCTGAAAAACAATATAACAGGGCGGGGGTACGTCGTGGAGGAATATACAAAACCACGTTTTCTTCGGGTTCGCGAGGCCTGTTCTTATCCCTTTGATGGGCAGAGCCAAAGTCGGTGAATTTCAGCGCTTTTTGGCCGGGAGCGGCGGTGCGTATTCTCGGTTGCAGCATGTTGCAGCATATTGGACAGGATTTGGCAATGACGCCCGGATCACAAAGGAAACGGATTGAGATTCAGCAGTCTATTCCTTGCGCCTGAAAGCAGCAGAGCATGTATTCCGCCATGTTTGCAGGGATGCAACCAAACTCCGCAAGCCCTGTGTGTGGGAATGACCTGCGAATCACATGACTTCGTATGGGTTTTGTTGAATTTATTGTTGGACGTTGCCCCAAAATCAATGGGGTCACAATAAGGGTCGTGACCTTGTTTATGTCGTTGGCCGAGAGAGTAAGCTAAGCAGTGTGGTTTTGTCCATCTACAAATTAAATCCAAGAGTGCCCAACCCCCAGAGACACTGGATGTTCGCTGCTTGCAGGGTGAACCCAGAAAGCACCTCTCAGAACCCCTTCTCAGAACCTCTCCTTGCCTTGTTCCGCTCCAAATACTGAGTTCTAAGGATCCAATAGTTAATTACAGGGAATGCTGCAGGAAGTCCAAATCTGCCATAGATGCTGTGTATTTTAATTCGGCCAACTTCCTTGCAACACGAGCTGGTTTGTTGGCTAACACTTTCTGTTGCCAGTTGTCTTCACATGAACTTAGGGCCTAACTGTTTACAGGCTTACAGAACCTCTCTGGGCCAGACCCAGCTCTCTTTATAGGGAGGCGAAGCGGAGTGTGTATAAACAACGACGTGCACATGGTTAGCCCCCTGACCGGGTTAGGGGCCCTTGATTTTTCCAGTGCTCTATCTCAGGAACAAGATGAAGCGGCAGTTCACGAAGAACCACAACGGCTTGCCTTGCGAAACGTGAGGACTGGTGAGCCATCCAAAGCATGACTGCGAACGGTCCCCTTTCCAGAAACCGGTGCGGTTTGTTTTGTCCCACCTTCTTAATCAGAACCAACAGCTGTTTTGTTCCAGGACCTCTTTGGGGTCAGGTTTGTGTCCTTGCTGCCGGCCAGGACGAGCAGCTGGTGGAGGCAGATGATAGCAGTTCATGGTGGCTGAATGTATCAAACTCGCACTTTGGACTTAAGGACGCACGTGTTTCATGGGTAGGGAGAGGGGGCCCAAATAAGCCTTAAATAAGTTGAATATTTTCGACCCCTAGACCCCCAAAGAAGTTCCCCAAGTGCATGTGTGGTTGAGGCCTCTTGTGATGCATGCTGAAGTTGATTTCTGCCATTGCCAATGTGCTTTGGCTTAAGACATATGTTGCCCAGCATAAGCACAGGGTTTGTGCTCACTTGCCGGACTGGGGTTAATAAGGGTGCCGGTTTCTGGTTCGCTGTTTTTCTTTCCTCGCTTTTTGGGATAGCCCCCCTTGGTCCGGTAAGTTCGCGCACCTCGTGCGTGGACCCGGCTCCGGCTTTCTCAGCCAGAGGCCAACGAGGCGGGTGGGTGCACCGTCGAAAGCTTTATTGCGCAGCTTTCGACTCACTCGCCCGGTGGGCTTGGCAGCATGTTCCATATCGGGGTCGAAAGGGTTCTCTGGGAGGAAGCTTCGGACTTGCATCGGAGCTCCCTCCTGGCGTGGCAGGCCGACTTCACCGACAACAGCTATCGGCATTTGCTTGACGCCTACCCCGACCTCTATACGACGCTGTCATTGCTCGTGGCCGCCATCAGCAATGTCCACTTGTTCAACGGGCACAGGCCGCAGCTCATGGCGCGGCAGGACAGGACGGCACACCTGTTCAGCAACCCGGCACCCCGACAAGTCCGTCGTCGACGCCAACGGTGTGTACTGTTCAGGCTGCAGCTCCAAGCGCAGCGGCAGTTACATCGACATCCGGGCCGGCAGACCAGGCTGCAGCTCCAGCGGCACCACACACGCCACCGGGCCCACCACCACAAAGGGCCCTTTCTGGCTGCCACAGCAAAGTCAAACAGGGCAGGTACGGCATTTGGGGGAGGTCCACTTCGAGGAGGAGGTCACCAATTAAAAAGTGCCGAAGGCGCCACCAAAGCGCCCAAGATCCAGGCCACCGCCCAGGCTGCAGCAATAAGCGCAGTGAGGTGGAGGACGCGGAGCGCACGCCCCCCTGCACGTGCGTCCCTGAGCAGGCCTCTCATCCTCGCGCCGGCCAACTCCGCGCACCCTATCACGAGAGTTGACAGCGCCGGGCACATCAAGCTCCGCCCACTGACAACCCTTACGATTTGCCGGAATCTTACTGGCACCGGCCTCCAGGGCAGATTCGCCATACAGCATCAGAACGACCGCTCGGGGAGAACAGTGCAGCATTACAACTTGAGTGTTTCCCCGTCGCCGGACCGGACGGCCCACGCCTTTTCAGGTTGTGCCGCCAGCCCTAACCGGGTATACGAAGCTGAACAGGTAGCCAGCTCCTATCGGCCCCTCCAGCAAAAACCCAAAAGGTCATTTTTGGAAGGAGGGCGGTCAAGGCACCCCCACAAAGTGTGATTTGACCAGGCAGCTGCGGATCGCGCTGCGTGGAAGGCCATTCCACCGCCGGCTTTGAGACAACCACCTGCGCTGCAGCTCAACGCGCAAAGTGGAATCAGGCAGCCGACGCCACCACCAAACGCCATTTACAACCACCGGCTCCGCAAGACTCGAGGTACAAGGCTGCACCGGCGCATCAATTGCCGGTAAAGCAGCCTCCGCCAGCCGCATCAACAAGGTCCGCCTCTGGCGATACCCAGGATCAGTCGGGTGCTCCTCAGCAAGAGGAGAGGCGACACCTAGTCGTTTGCCTTGATTTGCATAATGCCCTTGACATTTCTGTTGAAGCTGACGGCAAGCCAAGGAGGTAATTTCCAAAATTTACCGCAGCCACTACCCGACCGAGTTCCGCATTGTCAGTTATTGCCAGGCAAGGGAAGCCCGCCAGACCACACTCCGTACCGCAGGCAATTTTTTCAACGTGTGCAACAAAAGCATTGAAGGCCTTGGTGCACTGGCAAGGCTGCAGCTTTAGCACAGCTGGGTGCCTGCATCATCGTTGACGACAACAACGCAGTCTGCAGAGAGTGTCGCACGGCGGGTGCATGTGCCATAGGGGTTGGGCGCCGGGATTCTATCCGAGCCCTATGCGCCCAGCAAGGGTACTCGAGCAGTCCAAGTACTTGGAGGAGCCCGGCCTCTTGTGTTGCCGGAGGCTGCAGCTTAAGCATCAGTGCCACACCACCGCCCGGAAGCGAAGTGCATTTCGCCCACACCGGTTGTAAATAAATCCATCTGCCAAGGCCGCAGCTTGAAGCGGTGTGTGTCAGCAAACGTGAGCCTGGCCTCCAGTTGAAAGAGTGCTTCCGACATGGCTTCAGGGATATCCATCGGAAGATAGGTCAACTCCCGGGAAAGATTCTAATGAAGAGGCCCTGAATATTGGTACGCGCAATGTCCGTGACTCCTACCCATAGTTAGTAGAGGAACCCGATTCAGACTGTACAGCAACCCCCCTTGTGTATAGCCCACGGGTGCCTAATCCTAGGGATATGAGTGCTGCTGTCTTTGTGGCCGGATCGGCGTTGCAACGTGCGCATCAAGCCTCAATCATTGCTGCTCGCCAACGTTCGAGCCGCAGACGAGGCCCGACAAAGGCCAGGGGAGGTTGCAGCGGTCGCGCAACAGCGGGAACAGACCTTCAGACAACAAGCAACGGAGGTGACATACCAAGCACAGTTGAGCGAGCTCGCGCAAACAGGCCACGTTCAACAGGTGAGGCAGGAAGCCCAAGGCCATGTCCACCTGTTAAGACAGGAAGCCGTAAGCCATGTTGAGTGTGCTAGGCATGAAGCAGGGCCCTTCAGGAAATTCCCACGCGGGACCAGAAAATCCTCCAGCAAGGCAAGTTGATAGATACATAAGGTAGCGAGAACCTTTTAATGTCACAACGTCTTGCTGACCTCGAAAGGGCTGTGCGTCCATGGCACAAAATGTTCCGCGGGCCATCGAGGCAAAGTGTCGTTGGACGTGACCCTCAGGTTGGATCACCAAAGTCAAGGGCCTGTTGATGCCTCACGTGAGCAGTGTCCCCCGGAGGATGCAGCTCAAGGCGCATCGGGTAGTTCAAGTAGCGACCCTAAAGTAGCGCCACGTGCTCCTATTGCACGGTTTCCCAAAATCCTTCGGAGCCCCGCAACCCGACGACAAGTCAGGCGCCAAGCGTGTGCAATTCAAGGATGGTGATCCGCGTGCACAACCACAAGCCTCAACGGATGCCGCTCGGACTCAGGACCAAAGGGGATTTGAAACCCAGCATCAAATTTCCTCTTTAACCCCCCGGCTTCCGTAGCAGCACAACACACAACTGTTGTAAATCCTCAAGTTCCCACGCTTAGGCTAGCAAGTTCTAGTCAAGCGGCTCAAGTCATTTCCTCCCCCTGCCTTCGGCAGCAAGTTCCGACACTTCCTCAGAATTTGGTGAAAGAGGGCAACGAACCCTGATCTGATGCGCTTCTAGCAGCATCCTCACCACTTGCATCTGCTGCTTGAGTACCTTGTCCCTGCCCTCCATTCATTGACAAAGAGGGACATGCGGTATCATCATGCGGCCCACCACAGACTCGGCATGCGGCCTCGCACGCGGAACCTTACGGATTTAGTGCTACCGCTTCTGCCAGAACGCCGGTCAGGCGCGTGGATACGTGAATCATCTATCTGTGGGCTCAGGATTGCTTGACCTCATCCGAGGAACAGCTCAAAGCTGACAAGCGTTTCCCAGGCACAACCAGTGAGATAGCCGCCAAGCTGTCTCAGAATCACCTGGGCAAAGGCTGAACCTTCACAGGTTAGGAAAGCCGTTCAAGAAAAAGTTAGGGGCAAAGTCAAGCAATCCAAGTTGATGTTTTCAAGGTTCATAACACGCAGAGAATATTTTGGAAATGGGCGGATGCGTCACTTTCGATTGGCTGCGCCATTGCGAAGGCTGGCAGAGACTAGATGTGGCCGAGTTTTTCGAGCGTCACAAGGATTTGTTTTATGGCGTCTCATTTCATGGCTGTGCTGTTGGTGTGACGGATGAAAACGTCAAAAAGCTGTGGCGCATCAAGACCACGTCAAAGGCTCTTGCCGAAGCATTCGCCGAACGCAAATGTCCGCGCCCAAAGTCCGAAAAGCATGCTCCTGCAGCAGGGAGCCGAACCTCCCGTACCGCATGCTACCCTGAACAAATGTGTGGTTTGATCGCCAGAGCGTTGTATCCCGAAAAATGTAGGACTCCAACTCCAGTCCACGCAATGCCTGTTGTTCCAGTCACTCAGCAGACGGGACATCGTGTCAAGGAGCAAGTTCTGAAGCGCGAGTCTCCTCTTGCCAAGTTGTTGAATCAGAGTTGAAGACAAAGGAGATCATTGAGGAACTCCTCGATGTCCATGGTCTAGTCGCTACTGCTGACGGCATGCCTGCCAAGGCTGCTGAAACAGAGGTTCATGCGATGGTCACCAAACTCCTGTCCCGTGCAGAGATGCTTGGAAGCCGTGAGACAGGAGGCGACCGGACTGCAGGACATTGGAGTGTGGGATAGTTCAACTGTCCGGGAAAATGCTCGATAGCTCAAGCGCGACAGTCTGGGATTAAGGTAATGGCGAAGGTCAAGGCCGGTGACCGGCCCGACATCTTGATGACGGCGTCGTCTACTTCGTCCAGGGGGAGGAAGATTCTTCCATGCTGCTTTGCGGGTCTTGGGGAGGGAGCAATTTGGGGCAGCCGGGCAGCCCGATTCGGGAGCCCGCGTGTAGATTTGGGAGGTGCATTTCGGCCAGCTCACGACGATCGCAAGCATCAAGTTCTTTGAACTTGCGAAGCACCTTCAGAAAGTGAAAGGGCGCATCGTGTTCAGGGGGGACTGTGCGAAGGATGAAGCCGGTGCACCCGCAGTGTGTACCAGGAGCTGGCCACTTCGGTACAAGGCTTGAATGCCTGCCTAGCATATGGGTGTGTCCCAGGACAAACGCACCGCTGATGCGGTAAAAGCCTATGTTCAGGCGTTCCTCAGCTCGCAATTTCAGACGTGGATCGAGCTCTCGCAGCTGCTTAGGCAGTTTCTTCAAGTGAGCCTCCCAAAGACCTCCTGCGTCTGGATGGCCACACAAGGCACGGATCAAACGGACCACAGGTTTCACGAACCTGGAACCCCATTCCTTGGGCCGCAACTCGGGGGAGGCGAAGAGGCCCCAGAGTTTCCAGAAAAACTTTTTCTCCAAAGAAATTTGCCTAATGCTCTCAACATACGTCGATGATCTGACCCTTGCGGGGTGCCAAGGATGCACACGAAGCCTTTTGGGCAAAACTCACCACGATGATTAATGTTGAGCCCCCGGAGCATATCTATAGGGTGCCTGGCCGTAACCATCTTTTCATCAACTGAATGCAGCTGTAAGCGCATAAAAAGGTGCTGTTGCCTTTGACATGTCCGAGGGTAGAGCTGTTTTGTTCTATAACGGGCACCCAGCCCGAGAAGCTCCGAAAGGCAACTACTCCATTCTGTCCAGACGGGTCACTTCCTCCTGAAGATGATCAGTCAGCCGGTGAGCTCGCCCCAATTGCGTGCAGACTTGGACGACTGGCACATCCTGACATCACCTAGCCGTGCAGAAATGGTCTCGTAATCACGATAGGCAGCTCGCCCGCCTCATTGCGTACATCAACTCATCAACGCACTACCGGTTGGTTGGGGTCATAAAAGATAGCCCTCAAGATCTTCACCTTGCTCTGTACGCGGGCCGACTATGCTGGGGAAAGAGATGCGAAGTCCACGTCAGGTGGCTTCTTGGTTCTCAAGGGGCCAAACACTTTCCCGTTGGCATGGTTGAGCAAACAACAAAGGTCAGTGTCAAGGCCCACCACGGATACTCATTGTACCCAGAAGGTTTGCCTTCCTTGGCCGCCCTGTTGAACTGGTGTTGCATGAAGACAACCAAGCCACTATCCTTGTTGCCAAGAAGGGCTATTCTCCAAAAATGCGACACGTCCAGCGCACTCACAAGGTAAACCTGGCCGACTTTCGGAACATCTCGAACCTGGCACAGGTGTAGTGGTCAAGTACGTTGCAACAATCGCTGAGGCAGATACTAGCATCCTGCCAATAAAACGCGCTTCCCTTATTAACCCCAGTCCGGCAAGTGAGCGCAAGCCCTGTTCTTATGCTGTGCAACATATGTCTTGAGCCAAAGCACATTGGCAATGGCAGAAATCAACTTCAGCATGCATCACAAGAGCTCAACCACACATGCACTTGGGGTACCTCTTTGGGGGGTCTAGGGTCCCGGTTTCTGGTTCGCTGTGTTTCTTTCCCTGTTGGGTAAATAAGGCCTTAGTAATCGCAAAGATAGGTTTATTCGGGCTCCCTCCCCCTCCCCTCCCTCCACCCCCAGGCCCCATGAATGTTTATCAAAATAGTTTATTGTTAACCACTCAAGACCCTCAATGGCTTTTCGTTCGAATGCTGAGCTTCTGCAAAATCGAGGTGCAGTCTGTCTCATGCTTGGTTGCGGATTGGTGCGATGTCCAAGCTGCTCACCTCGCGCCAGGCAACTGCTGGCCAGATTGAATGCAAGAGCGCGCTCATCGAAAGGGTCTTTCTTTCCAAAGTTCGGACCGAAGATGCCAGGCAATCCTGAGAAAAACTGGGGCTGGCCCTAGGCTGAGCTGGCTATAGAGCTATAGAGTCAGGCCATTGCATCCAATTTGTCTAATTGTTTTAGTTGTGATTTGTTTGGTTTGTCCTACCTGGCGAGGGCTCAGAACGCAAGTGCCAAAGTGATAGCACAGAGATGCTTCAGGGTTGACAACCTGCGCGACGCCAATGAAAGAGACCTTTGGGGTGTGCGGTGCTTTCGCGGAGGCTCTGTGGCTGAGCACTTGAGCGGAGCAGTTGTGCCCGATGAATTGACCGCAGCCGTGGTACTTCAGTTCTTTGGTCCACCCTGGCATCGAGTTTTGCAACATTTTGCAACAGGCCAGGAGCTCATAGTGTTTTGCAAAGTGGTACCAAGGTTTCATGTTGTCTGACTCACACAGGCTTCCTCATCTTGCTACGCACAGAACGCCCAGGCGCAGCCATGCAGATGTTTCGTGGTCTTTCTGTACGAGCGCGTGCCCTGCTTCTTAAGCAAGGGAGATCATAGGTGGGGTTCATGTTTAATCACTGGTGGCTGTGTCGAAAAGACTAGTTTGTGCTTGGGGAACTTCCCTGTCCACTTCCCTGAGGAAAGAGAGGCAGTTCTCTTTCATGACTTTATTGCCCTTTGTTTTGTTGGTCATCGGCATGAACGCTGAGGACGCTTTTCTACCCGACCACGATTGCCGCCATGTTGTCCCGCTACCGGGATGAGACCAGACCAGAAAGAGCTTTATGAGTCTTGTCGGAACTGGGGTTTGGGTGGAGATAAGCAGTGCCCAGCTCCAACTAGATGACACACCCAGAAAACAAAGGATTCTTGAGGCCGCCCTGAATCAGGCTTTGATTGGGGTGACTTCCACAAAACCCTTACCTTTCGGGGTGTTTTGAATGGACCGCGTATGGAGGCTTGTCAAAAGTGGGGCCCTTTTTCGGCAGCTTTAAAGAGCAGCGCATGGAGGCACCAGCGTCCACAAGGGGCAACCACGCTTTGAGGACCGCGTCCTCGAAGACCGTGGGAAGACGGGAGCCAAAGGTGCGGGCTTCCTATGCCGCACCAAGTTGACCACGCCAAGGATGAACGCTGGCTTTGTTTACCTGGGCCCAACCGTACCCGAGGTAAAGGATACATCCAGAAACTACCATTATAATTCATCAGCCGGTTGTGTCCTTTTTTGACCTAACCTCCCAAATGCATCCTTCAAGGGATCCTCTAAGAAAAGCCCAAAGAGACCCTTGCGCCTGGGCATAAAAAAAGAAACCCAAAAAGACGCCTTGCATCAGCAAGCACGCCAGCCAGCGCATCCGCATCCGATCATCCGCATCCGCGTCAGGCGGCTTCGCGGTGAGCAACGCCGATGGCTCCCTGGTGGGGCCCTGGAATGCCATGGTCATCTCTCCGGCCATCGGCGGCCTGGCGGAGCGGATGGGCAGCTTCTGCCGCAATCGCAACAGCTGCGCCGCGGCGCCTCGCTGCAAATGAGGGCGGGGGGGTTGGGGGGGTTTGGGGAGGTTTGGGGGGGGGGCGGGGGGGGGAGGTGGTGACCAATGGGTTCTGCGCATGTTTTGGGTGAGATAACCCAAAAAACGAGCCATGATGAAGCTCTTCTACCTGGGATCCTTTTACCTCAGGGTTTGGGATTAGCTGTTGCGAACAATGCAGAGTTCTGGTTGGGCCAAACTGGTTTTGAGACCTTGACTTGGGTTGTTTCAGTTGACTGGGGCTATGGTTGTCAGATTCCGACCATGTTGACTTATGGGGCACTGGCTTCACACCTGCAATTACTGCAGGGTTTGATGGAAATTGGCTGAGACAAATGTACGATCAGGAGTCCTTTTGAAGAGAAGCCGCAACCGGGTTGCTGATACAAACATGTTGTAAACACGTCTGCGAGGGCTGGCCCAACCCCAGTTGCAATTTGGCCCCGTGATTTGCGGTGATTTGAATAATGCCTGGGATCCTGGCGCAAAAAGTCGCGCCAGGATTTGTTCGAGATTGGCATCCTGGTGGTGGGTGTTGAATGGCTCTCTCAATTCGAGTGGTATGCGCACGAGAAGCTGGCTCTGAAAGCAGGCGTGAGTCCAGAGGCAGGGTATCCAGAACCCACCCCCAAGTGGATGGCCCTTTTGTGCAAACAACCGGAAGCATCCACACTCCCCCGCAAAAATTCGAGCCGTTTTAGGTTTCGCGAAATGAGGTTTGCCAGTCAGAACTCCCTTCCTAGTACAAGTTTGCTGGGATGATTCTTGTGGGGACGGCCTTGAACAGCCCCTTTTGAAACATCCGGCCTCACGGATGCGGTGTGTGTTTTCCTAGTTCTGTTGTTTTTCCTTGGACCTGACACGAAACCTTTTGATCATGCTGGTTCTTGCTGCGGATGGACAAACTCCCGCACCAGTTGGTAGGTGCTTTACCCCAGTTTTCGCAGGGCTTCATTTGGTGCAAGGTGGATTTTGTCTATCTGCAGTTCATTCCCAACACCTGATGCTGGTTCTTTGAGGAACACCTCCATTCCATGTAGTTTCCCGAGCACCGATTCAATCGCTTCAGTCAACTTGAAATGATCACAGAAAACACAAGTTGAATTAGGAAACCAACCTCCAAAAATAGTTAGTGGTTGCATAAATCCCCATGGAAAGGATTTCCGTCAAAGGGTCCGCAATGAGAGGTAGTTAATCGGGTTCATGTCTAAAGCGGCAAGGGAATTCCATGGCAGGCGGCTTTTTGTTAGCTCACACGAAGGGGATGTGTGTGCCTTTGACCTTTGGGATTTTCCCATCCAATTTCCATGGTCCTAAATGCCCTGTCGATCGCAGGCGATCCAGAGCATCAAAGATCGGACAGCGCCGGAGAGTGCCCTGGGAATGAGTTGGCCGCAGCGAGCCGTGCGGGACCCGGGAGCTGGGGAGCTGTGCAACACCTGCGAAGCCGAGGGTACAAACTGGTTAGCTTCCTTTTTGGAGAGCCATTCATGGGTTCCTTCAGAGGGATTGCCTTTGGTAGGCCTTAGGGCGCGGCGTTCACCCGGCCATGATGAGTCTTTGGGGCAAGCGTACAGTCGGACAGGTAGAGATCAACAAATATTTTGAACGACAACCTGAGGGTATTTGAAACAAATTATGTATATCTCAATGTGCACATACGTTGCCATTGCTAGAACATCACTTCAGTCCCCGGCTTGCCGGGCGGGACAGCAAAACCTGCGCGCTTGGCTTGCCGTTTTGGCTTTCCCAGCGGCCGGTGGGTCTCACTCAGTTGTTCAAAGCCGACCTTTTGACCTTTTGTTTTTCCTCTTTTGGCAACCATTTTTAGTAGAGGTCCCAAAAGGTCAAAAGGTGCTTTCCTCTTTTGGTCCATTTTTAGTGAGGTCCCAAAAGGTCAACCTTCTATTCCCAGGTTCTTCGGGCAAGTGTTCTCAGGTTTATAAATACGCCCGGGAGCTCCACGACGTCAAGCGAGTCTCAGACCAGACGCACGCGGATGCGCTGTCCGCCGTCGGGGGGGAGCCGCTCGGAACGAGAGAATCGCACCTGGGGCGTTCACGGTGTGTCTTTTGCGCGCGCTTTTTTGAGGCCCAGCATGCAATGCAAATTCGCATGACGGAGAGTTTGCCTGAGGCAAGCATTGATCGACCTTGTGTTCACCATGGGCTTCTATCATCAAATCTCGATGACTCTGAACGCCTTTAATGTGCCACTTCCTGAAGGGGAAGCTCCACCTTTTAGGGAGCCACTCGAGTAGTTGCCTGCCGCAAGGCATGCAGTGTACATAGTCGCTGCTCAGCGCGAGAGGTATCTTTTTCCAATTTGCCACTTCCCTCCTAGCCAAGCAACCCTCCTCTGTTTTTCTGGGTTCCAGGAAAAAGCTGCAGTAGAGTGCCAGAGGCTCTTTCAGCATGGCGCAGACTTCTTGACTTGCCTTTGGTTTCCCAACACTTTCACATGGAACTTGAACACGTGCTGTTAGAGGAGAACAGCCTTCCGGGTCCCATTCAGGGTACTTAGATGGCCTGGGCGGAATCGCTCAGTTAGCTTGTCCCTGGTTGCGACCCATTTATCATGCAAGTCCCCAAGCTAACGAGGATTATAGCCGTTTGGCGATCGGAACATCAAAGTAGTGTCTAGCAGCATGGCACAGACTTCTTGGCTTGCGTTTGGTTTCCCAAAAAGATCACATGGAGTCTTCCGGGTCCCATTCAATAGATAGGCACTTTGCAAGATGTGCAGCTCGCAGGCTCAGCGTGACGCTGGAGGCCGGAGCTAGGTGATTCGGGACACTGGATTCCACGAAGTGATTCGGACTGAGCGACTGATTCGGGACTTGGGTCTGGGGGTTTCAAGTCAAAACAGTCCGTTACCTTGAACCTGCTTGTGGCACTTCATGGACGTACGTACAAGTTTGATATCTCATTGGGGACTGCCAGGCTTGCGTGATGCAGACGTGCAACTTTGCCACGCCGTGTGCCCCCGGCAAGTCTGCACAAGTGCCAGTGGATGCTCCTTTCCTAAAGTGCCTCGTTGCCAAGGCAAAGGCCACTTCTACCAAAATGTTGTACCCATAGGCATTTGCCAACATATTCCGACTTGGTTTCAAGCAATCTAGTTTCTGATCCGCAGAACATGGCGCATGTTCATTCGCGCTTTGATTGCCTTTCCGTACAGAGTTCAGGTATTCCATAGCGGTTGTTCTCAGATTCACTCTGCGTGATGGATTGTCACGCGGCCTGAAAATCCCACATCCACCCCAGCTAAGCGCAGCTATTCCTAGGCCAGGGACCCCCAACCTCTTGCCCCGTTTGCCAAACTTGCGCGGCGCCGTGGTGGCGACATATAAATCTGTCGCCCAATGAAATTTCCGGGTGGCGCCTCATCCACATGTGCGGTTGCGAGTGGGGAGCCCTCCAGCTTGCGCGCGGAACTGCGTCGGAGATCTCGTGCGCATGCGGCCAGGTGGCCATGCAATCCAGCGCGGGGCTCGGTGGTGTCTGGGCTTTTGATTTCACCTGGGATGTTTAGATTGGTGGCGAAGCAGTGGAAAACCATGTGAAGCTGGAGGGACAAGCAACGAGATAGAACAATGCCCATGCCTACCAATGCAGGGTAGTTCCTTCCGGTCCAAAACCAGGTCGATGTGACAATTCTGGAAAGCTTGACGGTAGAGCGCCCGTTTTGACGGCTTATTTTTCCAGAGAGGAAAATATTGTGCCGCCCTGTGTGCTACCAATGTGGTGGGTTGACTGATAAGTTTGAGGCCTTTCCAGGAAGAAAGACTGCTTGTTTGTCAATAGTGTCAGTTCGGATGAATCGAGCTTGTCTTGGGCCAGAAGAAGCTGAAGAAGAATAATAATGCACACATATGTTATAAATATGTGCACGCACAGGCAAGCATACGCAATCATACGCAACATACTTTCATAGGTTGGTGTGTGTGTGTATATGTCTACAAATGTGTACACTCGTTTGTTCATGTGTTGATTCGAGAGAGCCAGCTCAGAAAATACCCTCAAACCAATTCACATGGAACCTCAAGGGGGCCCCCTTCAAAAGGAACATGATCTTCCAGGACCCTCCTGTCCGGTTCTATGTACGTATGTTTATACAAATAGATTCGGATGTGTACACGTGTTTATATGTTAACCTATATATCGGTTCGTGTATCTTCTGCCAACCGCAGCTTCAGGTGCCTTCACATTTCGGCTCAAGGCCCAGGCTTGCAACCCCTCAGTGCCTCGGCCCCCTTTGCGGCTGGCCGGCACTGGCGTCACTGGTGTTTGAGGCATGTGGAAAGTTGTGACAGCGGAACATTGGGTTTTAGGTTGCTTCTGTCATACCATGAGAATCCCCGTGGTGATATATAACTCGTAGTCATGGGAGCCAACCAGTCTTGGAGAAACCGTTGCGCCCATGTTAACATGTGACACCAACAAACCACCATAGAGGAAACGCTCAAATTGGGGCAGCCCCCTAAAATGGGTTCTATGTTATTTTCAATGCGGGGTATTTTCGGCGATGGTTTTTAGACCTGAAACCCACTCCCACTTCCGAGTGGATTTCTGCCAACAGGCTGGGCCCATTTTCGCTCAAGGCTTTCTTGGGTCGGGTCATCAACGTTCTTGGATTGGGTCATCAACCCTATGATACGACCTTTTGCCAGGTGGTTTCGCTTGTGTCCGTCAAACGGGTTTGGATTCGAGAGCCGCATATATTTTGTGGAACCCAGCTCGAGGGCAGAGTGTGACGACAATATGGCGCGGCCCGTGTTGACAGCTGCGCCATGCTTGCCTCTCCGAGGTCCAAAAGTGCTTGGGCGTTCAGCGTTCATACTGAACTTGTCCTTCTTTTCCATACGTGGCTGCCTCAGCGAGCCTTGGGCGAGTCATTCACTTGCATTTTTTGCTGCCGGGAAAAGAGTGAGCCGGGCATATCGCTCATCTCGAGGCTTTTGCCGCGATGTGGCAGACTTTGGTTTTTGTGGCCGGCGCTTGGCTTCGAGTGTCGCCCCTTGGTCCTGTCGGTGTCATGGTTTGACCGAGTCTCAGGCGGGCGCCGGAAGCTTTCCGGTGCCCATGGATCACATGAAGTTCGCCTCAGGTCGAAATTTATTTGAACAACCTAAAGGAGAAGGTGCCGGTTTTAAACCCTGGCGGGTTATTTAAACCATGGTGTGGTTGACCAGTTGAGTCGCACCTGGCCCAAGGGCGTCCAGCTGCGATGCAGGGCAGTGCCTTCCCGAAGAGGCGCCGTCACCGCGGCCGGGGTTGTTCTTGGTTGCCATGGTACTTCCATTTGCTTAAGAATATGTCTTATTGTCCCTTGTTGGTTTTAACAGGAATCTATCACTACCGAACATATGTTTAGTTTTTCCAGGGGTCTGAATTAAATGGAAGGGTGCGTTTAGATATTTTTAGATCCTTCGAGGCCGGGCTTGCTTCCAAAGGAAAGCAGATTAGACTTATATAGACATCCAACCACTCCACAAGGCTATGCGAGGTGGGAATATATTGCGGCAGGTATGCATGTCAATGTGGTGGCATGCGTGTAGGTGTGTGTGTGTGTGTGTGTGTGTCGTGGTGAACCGCGTAATCATCTCGACGGCTTGAAGTTGATGGCGCATGTTTCTGGAACTGCAGGTTGGCGCTCAATTGGCCAGCGAGGATTCTGGAAAGCCAGCGGTTGGCCTGGTGCAGACGTCGTTGCATCTTGGGTATATGGTTCACATGTGATCGCTTGAAGCAAGTCAAGCCAATGCATCCCGCAGTGCCACAACTCGGCCCTGAATCTATCATATCAAGCTGGGTGTATTCAGCTATCTTTCGAATATCTCAAAGCCGGTGCCGTCCACCGCAAGTTGGCATCCCTGGCCCAGTTGGGTTTGTCTTCTGGGTTTTCCCCCGGACACCAGCAAAGCTCAGAAAAAGAGCAATGGAGCAGCTGACTGTGTTGCCAGCGAAGAGGTTCCGCGAACTCTTGCTTCGGCAAGGGATGCTGCGAAGTAGTTCTGCGAAACACTTCTGCGCGGTGTGAAGCAGGTTCTTCACTTGCGTTGGAAGCCATCGGCCCTTCAGGCCACGTATCCTCCAGGCAAATGGAGGAGGGATTTTCTCATCTCAAGGGGAACCTAGCGGAAAGCCGTTGCGAAGTGCTTCGGCGAAGTACTGGAATCGCGGTGGCACGTTCTCAAGGGCTTTGTGAACTTGGCTTGGCGGGGCGTGCAGGGATAGGGATGGTCCCACTTCAAGTGTTCTTTCCACAAGCAGCCCCTTTTGGACCAAGAAAGCCTATGCCAACAAGCCCAGCCCAAAAAATCAGACGCCAGCTCTTTTCACTTGGCCCAAGGCACTACAAGCTGCGAGAGCAGCGAGTGGCCCCAACGCCGAGGGTTGAGTTGCTGCAGACCAACTTGACAATAACCCGCGGGGGCCTCGGAAACGGCCCGCGATAACCAAGGGCCAAAACGCATATGGGTGTGTTAGTTGTGGAATCGGGCACGCAAGCAAGCAAGCAACGCGCCCACACACACACACAAACACGCGCGGCACGCACGCTCACACGCACGTCCACACACTTTCTCTGAGACTCTCACGCTCTTAGGCACTCACACTTACACTCGCACACTTACACGCACACATACAGATCCTCTTACACTTACGCACTCACACACACAAACACAAAAACAAACAAAAATAAACACAGAACACATGCATAAAATCACACACACGCACACACACACACACACACGCACACACACACACACACACACACACACACACACACCCACCCAC